ACTCCCAAAATGTATGGAGGAAGGTGCTCTGGTCTGATGAGACTAAAATTGAACTTTTCGGCCATCAAAGAACACGCTATGTCTGGCGCAAACCCAACACATAACATCACCCAAAGAACATCATCCCCATAGTGAAACATGGGGATGTATTTCAGCAGCCGGGGACTGAGAAACTGTCAGAGTTGAGGGAAAGATGGATGGTGCTAAATACAGGGATATTCTTGAGCAAAACCTGTACCACTATGTGCATGATTTGAGGCTAGGACGGAGGTTCACCTTCCAGCAGGACAATGACCACAAACACACTGCTAAAGCAACACTTGAGTGGTTTAAGGGGAAACATGTAAATGTGTTGGAATGGCTTGGTCAAAGCCCAGACTTCAATACAATAGAAAATCTGTGGTCAGACTTAAAGATTGCTGTTCACAAGCGTAAACCATCCAACTTGAAGGAGCTGGAGCAGTTTTGCAAGGAGGAATGGGCAAAACTCCCAGTGGTAAGATGTGGCAAGCTCGTAGAGACTTATCCAAAGCGACTTGGAGCTGTGATTGCTGCAAAAGGTGGCTCTACAAACTTAGTATTGACTTTAGGGGGGTGAATAGTTATGCACATTGACTTTTTCTGTTATTTTGTCCTATTTGTTGTTTGCTTTACAATAATAATTAAAAAAAAAAAAAATCTTCAAAGTTGTGGGCATGTTCTGTAAATTAAATGATGCAAATCCCCAAACAATCTTTTTTAATTCCAGGTTATGAGGCAACAAAACAATGCCAAGGGAGGTGAATACTTTTGCAAGGCACTGTACATAGGTTTGTAGAATAACAATGGGTTTAGGGTCTTTTTTGAAATTTTGTATGTTCATTTTATAACATTTTTGCTGTTAAAAGGTGCATGCTTTTTCTTCAGACACAAGTTGAATTAACTTGGATTAATTCAACTTCAAGTCATAAAGAAGTCTAAATATGACTGGAATACCTCAAAGGACCACTCCCCACCCATAAAGCTTTATGGGTGAGGTGTATCACATAATAATGAAAGTTTCTAGAAGAAATCAGAACTTTTAAAATCAATTATGGAAAACCTCCTTACCTTAATACCTCAGAATGCTATAAGTATGTGCCCACAGCAGGTGCATGCTCACAGAGGGTTTTCTTCAGAGGCTTTTCAGTTAGAAGCCTCTGATAGGCTATTTCCACATGAAGAGACTAAGAATCTTTTGCAGGGAAGAATGGGAAGGCTTGCAAAGGCTACTGTTCAAGAGAACCGCAGCTTTTGCAAGCTTTTAAGATATATCGCCAATGACTACATGCATGTATACACTGGGAGTATATCTACTAAACAGTGAATATCATTTTTTTTTTTTGTGCAAATTTAGGCAAAGGCATTTAAGCCATTTGAGGGAACTGGGAATATAAATTATTCTAAGTCACAAATGGGCCAACTACTAAAGTGCGTTTTTGTGAGTTTTTAATCTGACTTGTTCAATATATACAGCTCTGGAGTCTGGAGAAAAACTCTGCAGTGGTCAACGCTATCCTCTTACAATACGACCAGCTGGATGGACAAAAACAGGTCTAGTACTACCTCAAAAGTAATTGGAAAAAAGAATGGTTGGAAAGGTTTTGAGTGAGGAAAAGTTAAATTCTGGCTTTACTGGCAGAGGGATACAGTGATTGTCAGGTTGCTTCCACTCTTAAAATATTGAAGATGGCAGTTCATAAGAACAAGGGCAAGCAGCAGACATTGGATACAAACAAAGCTGCAGACCAGCAGATGGTGAAATGAGAAGCAAAAAAGGAAGAGATAGACTGATGTATGCCATAAAGATTGAACTGTAGAGAACTGAAGTATATAATCTTCTCTGATGAGTCCATTTCCAGCTATGCCAAACACCTTGTCATCCTATGGTTAGACAGATACTTGGGCTTACAAGCCACAATATCTCACACTCACAGTGAAAACTGGTGGAGGCTCTTTGATGATCTGGGGTGCTTCAGCAGGGCTGGAATCAGGCAGATACATTTTTGTGAAGGTTGTATGAATCAAGTAGGTTCCTTCTAATCTGACAATGTTCCCTAAATCTGAGAATTGTTTTTTCCAGCAGCACAATGCTCCATGCTTGGCAAAGGTTCAATAGCAGAACGAAAAGTTTGCTATGACTAATAAAGTCTGCTCATACTTTACTCTGAGTGCACAGGCATTCTCCTCAATGCCAGATAACCACGACAATCAAGGTGTGGATGGAGGACCACCAAATCAAAAACCCTGTCATGGTCAGCTTAATCTCTAGACGTGAACACCATTGAGAACTTTTGCAATGTGATCAAGAGGAAGATGGATGGTCATAAGCCATCTAACAAAGCCAAGCTGTTAGAAATGTTTGTGCCTGGAGTGGCGTAAAGTCACCCAACAGCAATGTGAAAAACTGGTGGAGAGCATGCCAAGATGCATGAAAGCTATGATTGAGAATCAAGGTTATTCCACCAAATTTTGATTTCTGAACTGTTCATTAGATAAAACATTAGCACTGTGTTCTTTAAAAATCAATATGAATTTTTTTCTTTGCATTATTTGAGGTCTGAAAACATTGCATATTTTTTTTTAATTTTGATAAGCTGTCATTGTATGCAAATACATACTCAAAATTACAATATTTTTATTTGGAATTTGGGAAAAATGTTGTCAGTAGTTTGTAAACAGGGCTTCCTGATTCCAGCCTTGTACAGAAGCAGAAAGAGATGGGCAGTGCAAAACGGCACTGGACTCAAAACTTGGGGTTCCATTTAACTGTAACTCCTTATGGCAAGCCGGCATCAGGGACCTCCTGCCACCATAACAACTTGATTCCAATAAAGTTGTTGTGGTGCCCAGAATGCTCCTTTAAATGTGAGTTAATTGTAATGTTTAATGTTTTACTTTACAGCTGTTATAGTTGCTGGTATAGTGTATTACCACATGCCAGCCCCATTACTGCTGTCTTTGATATGCCAAGTCTGATCTTCTCCGACTAACTGAACTAAATTTTCACCTGTCTTTTTCTTAGCAAACCTGCTATGTAAGCCCATTTCCCAGACCTTAGCCCATAGAGAATTTTTGAAAAAGCTCAAATTCTTTCCCTGGAAGACATTTTTTCTTCTTCCTTTTTTTTATTATTGTAGAGATACAATTTCCTCATCAAATTGATTTGATTCTTCCATATTCTGATCCGATAAGGCTTGGACCTGTGTATGAGGAGGATAAGGCTTTAGGAAAAGTAGCTCTTATGGTTTAGAAGCTACACTTAAATGAACAGGGGTTCTGCACTATAATTTTTGCTGGTTTGTGCACAGTACCTGAATGGCTATCCCGTTTATCCCAGTGTCTGTGTTGCTCACTGACCGACACTTTTCTTCCTTTTCAGAGTTTTTTGTGTTTTTTCATTATCATTCACTCTCTCTTCCACGCAGCCTGTTCTCCAATCTCTGTAGCGCCCTTCTTTCAACAATTCTTTAAACAATTCACAGGTACAAGCATTGAGTCCAGCAACATTTGCAAAGTCCCTCTCAACCTCACTTTCTTCATAATACTGCGTAACACTCCCCGTCATTCTCCACACTCCCCCTATTACAACTCTGCATTCTTGGTCTCACATTCACCATCCACCTGACAAATGACACCGCTCACTTGCAGAACTCACTAGGGCTACTGACTTTCAGACCTCTGGCAAGTGTGCACCTAAGAAAACATCCTGTGTGTTTCACAGTGTTCAGTGAGCACAGAGAGGTGGAGTAAGTAAATAGTTTTCTAAATGATTATATTATAGATTTGTTGTTTATGTGGGTGTATTTTGTCTTGAGAAAGGACAGCGTTAGGTCTGAATATTGACACATCTGTCAATCCATATGGATTAAATATATTAACACATTAAAAAAATACCTATGCGTAAGGATACGATACCTACCAGGACTCACAAAATCTATACAAATTGATGGGCAACATACAGAAAGTGCTGCCCTGCTGTATGTAGAAGTCACAAGCTGCAAGTAGTATATCAGGTATTAAATCATTCACAAATCCTGCAGCATATACATTATCCAAAATACAGCACATTTGCATGTGCTGCCAACCAACATGATGAAATTATGTGTGCCCCAGCAAACATGGTGGATATGGTTAACCTACCTATGAGTGCCTATGTTTCTATAATTTATTAGATTATATGCAGCCTTAAAGGGATCCTTCCGACTCCTAAACCACTTTAGTTTGCTGTAATGCTGAAAAAGTGTCCTTTTTTAAATTTTACAAAAAAATGCAGATTGCAATAGAAATTGACACTTTTCTGAATTAACCTTGTTACCCCCATCCCCTGGTTGTAGATCTGATAATTGATCATGTTACTTCCTAGTTTGGTTAGCTCGGTGGAGCTAAGCTCAAGAGGCAGTAACTGTTCAGATCACCTGCCTTGCAAAGACATCTCACTGAGCTGCATTGGAAAGTCTGTAATTGGACAGCCACAGAAAGTCTGGGCTGGGAAATTGGGGGTAGTACTTGCAACGGCAGCACACAAAATATCTGCAGCTTTTGTAAGCTGATTTTAAATATACCCTCAATTAAAAAAAAAAAAAAAGCATATGTAAATAAATGGATATTTTCATTGGAGGTATATCTACTAAACAGTGAGATTTATTGTTATTTTTGTGTGTGTGTGTGTTTGGTCAGTGGAGTGTCTCTTTAATCTTGGTTGCATCCGGCACTGAGTAACAAGAAAGCTGGATGATAAGAATGAGTGCCATTGTATCTGCAGTTTTGCATATTTTATATTCTTTATGTTCACATTTTACCTTCCGTTTTTCATTGGTAGTTAATGGAACACAAATTTAAGTTTAGAGAGTTACGCTTTCCTTGTTAGTTTTTTTGTACCACAAGAGGGAGCACAAGTAAGGTGCATGTTCGTATTTTTTTGTAAAACATGCACAAAATTGACTTTATGACATGGTAGAAAACCATACAGAGAAACATGGTAATTATTTAATATAGATAGCATTTTTTTTATTAATTCTGCAACAAATTGTCTACATAAATAAATGTTCAACAAAGATACAAAAATAAAAGCAAACATCTAATTCAGTGTTCTTTATATGATCTCACGCTTTCTTTTCATTAAATAGACCTTGGTTCTCTCCCATCACAATTCCCCCAAATCTTTTCAGGCTGGATTACAATTTTGGGATTTCTTAAAGTGCAAAAAAAAAAGCTCAGCAACCTATTAAAAACTGTATCTGTTTATTAAAGTGCTCTTTTTATGTCAAATTGGAAAAATAACGATCTTAAATCAATCATTGCCCTGTTAACCGGACCTCGTTATTGTAGTCAAAAGCAAACAATTAAACGGTCTCCAAATGACTGCAATACCAACTGAGTTTTTCCGCAATAAAAATATATATTTGTACATTTAAAATTTGCTTTGGTACAATTAGTTGTTATGTGGTTAATATTCATTTGCTAAATCAAAAAAGGTTTTGTTCTGTTGCTGTATTTTGGAGGACTTTTACTTGTAATTGCTGCACATATTGTACTAATTAAATTAGTTTAATTCAGTAAATGTCTTTAATATTAATTTATTCCTGATGTCGTGTTTACTGTTGCTGGTAGTTCATTGTCTAACAATGGAATAATTGATATACTCAAGTTAGCTTAGCTGAAGTAAAACAGATGGCACTGTAAGACACACTCAATGCCCTTATACAAGTTTAAAAGATAAAATCGATAATTATGTCCTGTTTACACAAATGTTTTGGGTATGAGGTCTCTTATAGCAATGCTAGAGACGCTAACCCTGGTTATAGCAGCATAGTCCAACATGTATCAAGGCCAATGGCATAGATTAGATGTAAATACATGCATATTACCTTCTAACTGACTGGGTTCATTCATTGAACCTAAAACATTAGCAAGTGGTCAGTGAGGAAAACAACTGAAGAGGACTGACTTTCCTGCTACCAGAAGGAATCTGTTTTCTCCATGTTTCTATCTCCCTTTTGTCCAGGCCCCTATTCCTTTATGTACCTCGCCCCAACTCCCCACATACTATATTGTGTCTTAAAATAAGGGAATTACTCTGTTACCTAGCAATGGTTACATTTTCTCATGTTATATATTGAGTTGAGATATTATCATATACTCCCTTTATTGTTTATTGCTTCATATACCTCTACTGTAACGGTCACTGCTTACCTGTTTTTCTATTCCGCACAATTTATTTATACTTGTTTATTTCAATTTAAAAAAATAAAGTCACACAAACATATCATTGTGGGTTTACTGACAACAGAAAAAGGAATACTGACAGATTATATTTATAGATATGTTTTCCTTTTGCAGAAATGACATTAAATTCTACAATTACCTATAAACACTCATTTAAAATGTATTTGTTTATACATTTGCACACTTCAGGATTTTTTTTTGTGTGTTGAATTGCTAATTATACGGTTAAAGTAAATCTGATGACTATTTAGCATCTGTCAAATAAGCAGTGGTTTATAAATAAAATGACCTTTAGACTACAGAATATTTGCCTATTGTCATTGGAGGTTCACACGTTTAATAATTAATAGTTATACTTAGGTAGATGTGCGGATAGTTTGTTCTTGTATTTTACTGTTCAAGTATTGCTTAGCTTAGCTAATTATATGAACAAAGTTGATATGCCACGCCAATACTTATGTTCAGTTTTCTTCACTCTGCAGAAATAATGTTTCCACTTATAGATTATAAGTGAAATTTACAGAGGTTGCAGCTAGTGTGGGAATGTGTGCGTTCTATGTGTATGTTTGCTGTTGCACTAGCAAGCTAAAATCAACAACAAAAAGATAGGTTGCTTAACCCCTTGAGGACCAAATTTCTGGAATAAAATGGAATCATGACGTCACACATGTCATTTGTCCTTAAGGGGTTAATCCAAATATTTTCACGAAATACCGACAAACATCAAAAATTTGATAAATTTGGAGGTTTAAATCCAGCCTGAAAAATACCCAACCAAAAGTACATTCAATTTGTCTCTGTGACTCTTATGCATAATTATCAATGAACAAGCCTCCCAGAATCCTCTACAACAAACAACAGTTATACTCCATCTATTGCCAAGAGTAGAGTAACACGCCATGCGGTGCAAGCTTCACTGGCAGCCAAGTGTTTTAAAGCAAGCTGCAAGCAACTTCCTTTTTAAAACAACCCAAAGTGTTAGAATAATACTATACACATGTAGATTTTTTTTTGCAATCCAACACATGAAGCATTTCGAATTTTTTTTTTTTGCTACAGAATCACGATGTCACATATCTAAGATGATCTTCAGTGACAATCACAAACACGAATATTTTATATTTAATTCAGTAGCTTTTCTACAGCATATAGTTTTTATGCATAACACTAACCGGTCAATTTAAAAAACAAAAAGATGCAGCCACAATTGTAACTTGCTAACCATATGAAATGAAATATTTATACAGCAACATTTATGGAAGCCTTGAAATAGCTGGAGAACATGGGGCCATTTCACATATGGCTATCCTATAAAGAAACAACAGCGTTTTAAACATCAGTAACATTTCTTTTCTTAACTACTTGACTCTGCAAATAAACTCCTACAGAAGCCCATAAAAATATTTTCAGACAAACCCCTCAGGATGCCCCAATCCATAAATAGAGGATAACAAAAATAAATTTACATATAGTGGTTAACATAACAGAAACGCATTTGTGTTTTAGAATACAGACATTTACAAGTAGAAAAATTTGTAAAATTGGCAAACAATATCATACATTAGAAAGAAATAACAACTGTCCAAACAAATTTTTGTTTTCACATTTCTTTGTGGAAATGGAGTATGTACTGCAGCAAATTTGCAAAATGTTCACAAAAGAAAACAGTTTTTTATTTATGAACAACACCAGAATAATACAAGTATGTATTAAAGAATAATATTGTTAATACCCCTGACGGACTTTTGTCATATAGAGTGAATTTGGGGATCCTGAGATAAGGAGTTGAAAAATCCACATCGTAAAAATGTAAATATACACTTTGCTGTATTGATACAAAAATGGAGAGTTGACAGGACAATGCAAGTGCAGACTTCATAGAAGCAATTTCCTGACTTTGAAATTGTGGGAAATCTCAAGAAATTAGTCAAGTTTTGCAACATGTGATATATGTAGCTGCAATGTGCTGCAGCATACGCGCACTGCCCCCCAAAAAACAAACATGCTGCATTATAAAACAATACTGAGTACATCTACACACTGCAGGCAACTGCATAACTTGTTAGTAAGCATGCGCTTCTAATTATTACTGTTCGATTATATTACAAGTTAATAGAAGACCAAGGATCTGTCAAAGTATATAGATACTCAGAATCATTATACAGTGCAACTTGTATTAACTGTTGTATTTTAGTTGCCATGTAATATTATGTATTTCATTAAAAAAATAGATCTCTATAAATTCCTATTTGATATAATTTTACGTTTGTCCTCTGCTTATGGTGTACCCCAGTCAAAAACAATACAACAATATTTTTTTTTTTTTTAAAAACATAGATTCCTGTGTTTGGATTTTACAGGGATTAAATAACTTCTAAATGAAAGTTTTCTCATAACGGAAAATTTGTTTTCTGTGTTATTACTTAGACTTTTGTTTAAAGTCTTTTCAATAAACAGCATCAACATTTCTGCTAACACGGGACTGATGCAACTGTGCAGATTTATATAGACCATATATATGTTATATTTAACAGCAGTATAAGTATTTCAATGTAGGAATTCACTTTTAAACAAAAATGTAGGAATCATTTCAGGGATGTGTCGAACTGGCTACTTAACTCACGTGAATTGGTTAAATAAGTGCTGAAAACGCTAACCTCATACATAGCCCAGCACAGATCATACATACTCTTACTGACATTTCTATATAGTCTTGCTTCGTGACAAGATACCACTTGATACAATGCAGCTACACATGATTATATGCATTTGACTTGTCAAAGAACACGATTTGCAATACGTGGTGCTATTCAAATATTTGTACTATAGATCTACATATATATATATTTGCGTGTATATGTACATACATATATGAATACACACATAGATATGCACATAATATGACAGACAACATATGGGTATAATTTATAGTGACACTTTTCCAAATGTGATGTAACTAAGCTCCAATCCAGCCCAAATATTTCATATATACTCACACAGTTCCCAGAATGCTGTGAGCAAATCAGTCCTTGAGGCCATGTTTATATACGTCATGTTTACTAATATTCAGGATAAAGCCTCCTAGGGTGCTCTGTTTATGATATTTTACATTTGCTAAAAACTGCCTGCATGGTAACAGTGTCTTTAAACTCTGGTAGTAGATATTTGCAGGATTGGTCCGAAGATGGTCACATATCATGATCCTATCAAATATGGAATGAGTTATTAAATAGTTCTGAAGTGAACCTGGACAAAGATGTTTTATAAAAGGACATTCAGCAAAAGAAAATGGCAAACAACTGAGAAGCACAGAAATGTTACTTGGTAACAAGTTTTGATTTTGCCTTGCCTCTTAATTGTACTTTTTACTCAGTAAAAGCAAAAAAAATAAACAAATTAGCTTAAAATTTTGGTTAATTAAAATAAAGAAATGTATAACATTTTCTGACAGATGAAGCTAAAGAAAGCACCCATATTACCTTTCTGGTATATATCAGCTGAGATATTGTGAATGCAATAGAGAAGCACTGGGTTTGATGCTTCCCCCGTGAGAAGCATTACATAGAAACATAGAATGTGACGGCAGATACGAACCATTCGGCCCATCTAGTCTGCCCAATTTTCTAAATACTTCCATTAGTCCCTAGCCCTATCTTATAGTTAGGATAGCCTTATGCCTAACCCACGCATGCTTAAACTCCCTCACTGTATTAACCGCTACCACTTCAGCAGGAAGGCTATTCCATGTGTCCACTACCCTTTCTGTAAAGTAGTATTAGCATTGTGCTAATAGAACACGGTAATTGCAATTCATATGTCAGAGGTCATTAATGCGCCATTTACTCTGACCATGTATTATCTTATCTTACGATCTTACAGTGGAAGGAGCAGTGTCAGAATGGGTCTTGATTAAAGGTAAATTTAATGTATTTCTTTTTTAACATTGTTTTTTGTGTTTTTTTTTAAACAAAGGGGAAGTCTGAGTACAGTAAGGATAACATCTACCTCTAATGATGATATATTTATTTCTAAAGGTACTGTGCCTTTAATAGATAACCTTTATTCTTGTTTGTGTAATACATTTTCCATGCTGTTTAGACAGACTTCACACTGGCTGAATGAACATCAGGAGAAAATGAGTTCACAAGATTAACCATGTTATGCAACTTAGCATAACTATAAACAAACACATGACGGGAAAATACATACCAAACAAGAGTGGTGACGCAGGCTGGATAATGACAATCAGGGTATGGCAAATAATATTATTTGATTTAGTTTCTTTTCTAGTTGAAACAAAAAAAAGTGGTGTGCTTACAAAATCACATTTTGGCAAGGCAGATATTCCAGCTTATGATTCCAGCAATGTGCATCACAGTACACAATATCTTAAAACAGCATGGGAGCCAGAGCTCTTTTAAATCAAGCATTAATCTAGACAATTTCAATAAGTTATTAGCAGCAATTGGGAGGACTTAAGCACTAAAGTAAAATTATGTAGATTTTGGGGTTTTACATATTTTAACTGGGGGAATCTGCTCCTCCTTGACATTACTATTGATTAGTCCTAGCATTTGTAGATTTCACCATTTTTAGAGAATATGTAATGGAACATGTATCAAGATAGCAATTTCCACTACTTAGTGAGGTTTGGTTTACTGTAAAAACCATATTAACTGGAAATCACCTGAAGTATACCTGACTAATGTATGCATGACAAGGTTCCTATTCAGTAAAGAATTTATTTACAGAACTGCAAATTATGATGAAATGAGAAAGGCACTGTGACATTTAGGCCATATTAACCTTATTGGAAAATAACTTCCTACTCAGCTACATTGGCATACATCTTGCAATTACCTTGTTAATTCACAACTTACAAAGTTAACAGAATATTAAAGTTAAATCAATTGCAATATGCAGGTGATATCATTAGCAAATATAAAAAAAAAAAAAAACCATTAGATGCTAAAAGTTATCCAATACCAGATGCCGTTGTATGGTTTGCCTGTAATATGCCAAAATCTATGATAACAGCACAGGTATGACCTACACTGTTAAACTAACAATACTACTGCATCTATACCTATACCAGTAATTTGGCATTTTAAAACAGAAATGATAAACCATTTATTTTGTTGGGCAAGATCACTTGTTGACCTTTATGATATTCCCTTAGAGGGCAAACCTGACAAAATTCTGATGTGGTCAGCTTAGTTTGGCAATACTGCCCACAAATATATCCTCACAGTCTATCTCAGCTGAGAACTCCCAGAAAGTTAATATAGCTGCTCTATGCATGAATATTTCAGTGAATTTGCTATTATAAATCAGAGGTGTTTTTATGCTGCATACCTAACAATGAAAACAGGAAAGGCTAAATACCTCAAATAATAAGTGTAAGCTATTTTGTAACTATACCATCTGTATAACCCTCTACTTTGCCCCCCAGAAGTTACATTTACATGGTTGTATATAAAGAATATAATATAAAAGGCAATATATATTGCTTAATATGGTTAAAAAAAAAAAACAGATAACATTAAATGACAGTCTGGACAAAATAATTTTTTTTTTAACTACTTCAATATACATTGCCAAAGAAATATCAGCTCAATTTACAGGCCTGTGCAAAATTTTTAATTTTGTTATGTAAATACTGGCCACTTTGAATTAAGATTTACACTTACATGTTTAATAAAATAGCAGCTTGTATTCCCTCTGCTATCACTTTGCTATTTGTACCTTAGCAAACATAATATAACTAAAAACATTTTGTGGGTATTTATTCACTAAACAAAGATTTGCACAACAATTCTCCAAATCGGCTACAGTCTGAGCTTGACTAATTTAGCCTACAATTCAATGTTTAGTGAATACAAGAAGCCCTTACATAATTTTGTTTGTGTAGTACGTTTCATTATGTTTAATGTCAGGAAGCATTTTTTTAGAAATAGTTTTGACCACAAAACAAATCTATGGAAACTTTATTTTTGCAATGTCAGACTGATTTCCTGTAAAATTTAAACAAAAATGTCAGACAAAGCAGGAGGGTGGCTCAGCCTTTGAGGTTATGCTGCTTTGACTGACATTATTTGAACTCCTCGAAATGTATACACGAATCCCTTTATAAATAACAATTTAATCATTAATATATTCAATATCCCTAGTGCAATATAAAGTGCTTTACTCAACCACCCATCTTTACTCTCTCTGTTACAGCTTGGCTTTTTTTAACCATGTGCTCACCTATTGCATATTATGGTACTAACTGTAAGAACTATATTATATTTCCTCTCAAATCCTATAAAATATTGTCTCCTGTTTTCTCATCTGGAAGTAACATAAGGGTTAAAAGTTACTCACCACCGCACTGGGGGTCCATGGAACACTCACCCAGAATTTGCACTCATTAGTGGCTAGTGGACATTTTAAACCCCTATTATGTATTTTATATCATTATTATATTTATATCTGTGTGATCCTCGACCAACTTAGCCAAGACGATAATGGGTGATGTTAATCTATAACATGTTTTCAGGTTGTCTATACCTGGGCAAATAGAAGATTTGTACAATGTATTTTCATTAAACTAGTAAGACAGGGACAGAGATAACATTTTATAGTAAAGAATGGCATACGTTCCATTGTTAATCATGCCATCTGAGAATTCAAAGAGGAACAGTATGTACACTGAGCAGCATGTATTGTTACTAAGGTACTGATAAAGCTAGCTTGGAAACAGAGTTGTTATGATAGATATGTATGCTAAAACCAGCAAAAGGTACATCACAGGATGTCTACACATGGTAAATCTGGTTATTAGCAAACTGATTGAGTGCGGTTAAAAAAACCTGCAAATATTACAGGATGCTGAGTGCAAAATGCATAAGTGCGTTTAGTACCGTATACGGAGTTAAGTGCATCTAAATTCCCTGCCTGTAGGGGAACAATGTGCATGAATGGAGGCATACCTGCTTATAGTAAGTATGTGTTCTAAGGGCAGATATAACACCTATAATCTTAGAACATGTTTAATGTCCCTCTAACATTCTAAATTAAAGGGACCCTTTAGGCACTGTAACTGCTTCACCTCATGGAATCATTATACCATCTGGAGTCCTCTGGCGAATTCCGTCTATTAGTGGCCAAGGACCATTGTTTAAAGTGTTAAAATTATCGAAAATGGTTTAACACTGAATGAAAGGGCACAGCCAGGGAACTCCAGGCACTATATCCAAATCAATAAGATAACATTTTACAGAACCTACAGTCCCTTTAAACTCATGCTGTAATGCAGTTTAGGGGAACATGGCCCCATCCAGTGCTTTTAGAGACTTGAAATCTCCTCCTAAAAAAAAACCCTGTACGATACAGGGATATGCATTACTGCTTTATACTTTTTAATGGCAAACTTTACTTTTTACCAAGTCAAATCGTAACCGCATTGGATAACTAAATGATGAAGTGTATAAGACATTTTTTTCCAAGTAATCAAACTTTAGTTGATGTCCAACATAAAGTATGTCTTGGATATAGATTTATCTTTGAGATGGTCAAGATAAGATCCCTACATAACTATTAATATGTGATGAGCTAGCCAACACAATGTTTGAAGAGCTAGCAGTAGACTTTGGAAAAGACTATACCCTTCCTAATGAGATCAAGGTTCTACTCTCATTCACAGGCCTCTTTGTAAATAATTGTGACATATTGTTTTCCCTGTTTTCTTGGTGTTTTTTTCCCAGTTTCCAAAAATCATTCTGGGAAAGAAGGAAGAGGAATAAAATAGAAAGATACAGCAGAGGGAGGGAGCAACTAGCAGTCACCACCACGATCTCGAAAAAAGCCTTCTGCGGACTGAGCCTCACGAAAAGTCACTGTAATGGAGTTTGAGGTGATGTCAGTAACAATGATCTCGCTGGGCCTTGGAAGGGCAGGGAGCCAAAGCTGTGGAGCAGCTGGTTTTGTTTCATCTGCAGAAACATAAGATAACACACAAGCGTTATTCTGTGCATACAATTTACAAATTCTATTATTCTATTAACAGCAACACTTGGTTTCAAAATTCCATTAACCCCTTAAGGACACAACTTCTGGAGTAAAAGGGAATCATGACAGAATATTTCCGTCATGTGTCCTTAAGGGGTTAAAGCAATACTCCGGTCACCATAACAACGTCAAAAGGCTCTCGGGTGCTCTCTTAAGTTAAATCGTTCTTGAATAGTTTAACCCCAAAGACTGCCTCCAGCATCTTATCTCCAGGTAACCCAGTCGCATCCAGCTTCTGAAACCAGGTTACATAAAGCTCAGAGTGCCGCCACAGATTGGCAAGAGCGGTCAGCTGACGCACTAAGCCAGTCAGTAGTTCCTCGTTCATAAAAAAAAAAAGATACATACAAAAATGTAAATTGCATGGGGTAGGGTGCTTTCTAATTAAAATTAAGAGGGCATAAGGAAAGGAAAGCTAAAAAAACATGGTACTGCAGCTTTCAATCCATGCAGTGGTCTATTGCATTAATAGTCATCAGAAATGATAGTAGCAAATTCCAACAGATTTTTGTAAATATTCATTATGTTTAAGTGGCTCTGACAAGGCAACACCCAGAGTCTTATGTCTTCTCCTTATCTATTTTCCATCATTTAATAAGAGAATGAAAAATATCCATGGGAATTATATGAAAGGCATTAGCGAACCCAGAGTTAACTGATATAACTTAAAATCCTAGCCTATTTTCATCACACAAGTGACAGGTATCGGTTTCTTCAACATCTCTCATAGGAGACACTGCCATTAATAAATGTCTTTGATTTAAGGATACTTTCTTGAGTGGTACCTGTTGCCTGCTTAGTTTTATCTTCCTGGTTCTCTTCTTCAACAGGTCTTTCTTCTTGCCAATCATGGATCGTCTGTGTTTCTTCCTTTTCCTCCTCCTTGGAAAAGAACTCGGACCTTCGGCTCAAAGGCTCATAGGTAGAGACCCGCAGAAACTTCTTACGGGATAGGCACAGAAATTTGCGGCCCTTGCGTTGCTTGCTGAGTGGGAACTGAAGTGACTTGGCTTTCTCTGGCACAGACGAGGTTGGTGCTGGTTTGGTTCCAATTCCACCACTGAATCTTCGTGACAACGAAAAACAAAGGTTCCTCTCCTTAGACTTGTGTGCACTGCGCAGATCCATGCCATATAGCCTCTGCAGAAATGATAAGGACATAAAGTACATCTATATCTTTCTCCTTGTACATGCGAGTTTACATACTACTTCTATAGCACATCAATAATGTATCAAAAATAGTCTATAATAGCAAATGTCAGTTTATTGCCCATATTTGGTGACACTGTGTCCCTAAGTGAGTCATATTCATCTTCTCCTGCATTCACTACGCAAACTAATGAAACGGCCAAACATGCAAATCATTTTCTTGAACAATCAGTGGTACTTTGTGCCCTATAACTAGGATAATTGATCTTACTTGCAACTTTGTTCACTAGAAACAAACATTTTGATTGAATCTTATTTGATTCTATGTTCTATTGCAATAACGGTTACAAAAATTCTTAGAATAGATTATTTTTTCTTTCATGTCTTGATTCCCATTTGACAGAATTAATTTCTTTATGGGTGACAGTATGGGTTACGAAAAAGAAGACTCCTCTGCTTCTAATGAAGTAATCTGACCATTATTAAGAAGAAAATTCTACTTAGAAACTAAAACATAGGAGTTGTTCTTTACATAAAACATATGCGTGTGCTCCTTCCAAATTGACATTCCAGGATATAGATCTGCATTGTGTTCTTTGCAAAATAAGATGGCTGTAAGAACATATGGAAAATGTAGTCCAACACCGGAGTGCCTAAGGTTGCCTCTACCCCAGCTATAGATCATTCATGTAGCCTTTGTATTTCAAATATGTTTGTCACATTTCTGCTCAAACTGTTGCTTTGTAACTGCATTAGTAGAAAACTCACCTTCCACCTCTGGACAAAGCAGAAGGAATAGGATAATCTATATTGGACACCTGTTGGCATAGATTTTTCTTAAAAATGTGGTGTATTGCTTCACTATAGTCATAAAAATATTCTTGCACTTCACCAAATTGGTTTGTGCATACCATACATGTGCATTGATTTGTGCACAGCTCCTTTCTATGCCTCCAAGAAGGTAGTCCTGTGGTTCTAGCATATTTAATAATGTTCCCAAGATCCTGACAGTAACTTTGATTCTGAATGTTATTCCTCTCATTCAGTTCTCAATTAATATAATAACACATGCTTGCACGATATAATCTTGCTCCCACTTAACTAACACATCCACAAAGTTGTATAAAAAACAATTCTAGGGATTTCTACAAATGGAAACAAGGAACACCCAGGAATTGCTTCAATCTGTATGATCTGCACTTTCGTTTTATTTCTATATTTTGTTTATGATTATGGCTAATTTCACCATTCTGTTAGCTAACCATTATCTCTACAATATATCCTCAACTGACAAGGTAATCTTATTCCCTATGTATGTACTGATCTCCACTGAAGTTCTAAGCAGCAGATCTTCGAATGATAAATTTCAAACAAGCATTACTCAAGCCTTTTGAAAAGATATTTTATGTAGGCACATGAGGTGCTATAAAAATATTAGAGAAAGTGTTTTACAATGGTAGCCAAATACCAGACATTTTTTCTTCTTGATGCCTAAATATCACCCAGATTTTAATGATATCATTCAATATATATGCTTGAATTAACAACATGTGACTGGTAGCTGGGGACACTCGTTGTGTTTGTATAAGAAGGTTATTATATGGAGATGTTTCGCATCATTTCAATAATACCTTAACCGAGGCAGTAACAGGGTAAATGTATCATACAGGTGTATCTATGGCAGCATCTTAAAAATTATCGGCAGCCAGTCAACTAAATATCCCACTTTATACAAACGCTGCATGATTATATCAATTTGCAAATACAATGCCATGAATTATTAGATATACAGAAAAAGGGCAGCAATAGTAGAAGATATAAAGGAGTAACGGACATAATTCAGAATAATTTGTCATTCTTGTATTTGATAAGAAGAATGTATACAAATCTAAATGATGTGATCTTATAATGTATGTGTTCGTATTCTGTTATACACATATTCCTAACAATGCATGCATACCTGCAGGAGAAGGCGCTTTGGTTTTGGGCCACGTTTTCTGCACCCAGAAGCTCTCTCCTTTTCTTCCCTATAGAAACAACAGAACACTAATCAGCATATATTTAATGAGACTATAGCCTAGTCCTGTAAAACTCAATGTACATTTAGAACATATTGATTTCTATATTTTATTCAGACATACACCATCGCTGTTTTTGAATGCTTGAATGCTTCTTGTCTGGAGTGCGCCAGTCCTGCTCGTCTCCTCCACTACCAACGCTGGACAGCCTGGAGCTCTTGTCAGCACTCCTGAACTTAAGTTTATCTCATTGGCCGAGAGCAATAAGCTACTTGCTGTCCATTGTTAGCAGTAGCGGTAGGGAGAAGCATAGCAGGGACCCCAGATAGTGCCAGCCCTACTATCATAACCACTACGGTAAGCTGTAATGTTCATTGTGCCTGGAATATTCCAGTAACATGAAATGACATGTCAGCGTAACGTAATTCTCAGTGAATATGTAATGTGTGTGGAAATGACTAAAAATAACCCATGTAAAATAGCTCAGAGGGCTTTTCTTGCTAATGGTATGCCTTGATAGAAATTATTTTCAGTTAGCACTGCTACTATACACAGAAGGTGACATAATCTAGTAAATCAATGTGCCAAAATTGTAAGTTTGAATTTTGAAATTGGTGTGTCTAGAATTTAACACTAAAATGCAATAGTGTGTTTGAAACACACAAACAAAAACTTTACACAACTAGATGTTTTGGAGAGATTTGTGCTAAAATGACCATATGAAAAATGTCACAATACCCCTAGATAAATACCCTGGGATTTCTTGTTCTACAAATGTAACTTTTGTGTAGTGGTTTTGGACTCAATGGTAACTATTAAACATAAAGTCCCATTTAAAACCGTTATTCCCTCCTTATACTATTTGACCAATTTTTTGGGTGATTACAATTTGTGGTGGGATTTTGGGAGTGCCCACGAAATGTGTCCAGCAGCTAAACGAAATATAGCAAAATTATCAAATTCTAGAAGCACCTACATTTACCACACCTTTCTGTGTCCTAGATATTTGACCTATAACTGCTAAAAATTGATTGTAAACTTAACATCTGTTGCTTTTTTCATGTCCCTCGAATCGTTCTTTTTTTCCCAATTCTGTTTCAATTCACAAAAAATTGTGTTTCAACAAATAAGCTGGTTACTACCTACCTATGATACACAGAAATGTACTCACTACATATAACATACACACATTCAAATAGAATAATATTTTTTTATAGGCAGTGGAATCAAATAAAGTTATAAAAAATCACAATTATTTCTTTTTACAATTATTAATAAAAGTATGTATTTGAAGAAACAACATGAATGGGAGCACTCACTTTTCCTCGTATGCCAAAACAAGCCGCGGATCCAGGATATGTTCTTCTGGCTCCCAAGTACTGTATCTGAAAAGGTGAACAGTCACTAAATAACCGTGTAATGTTAACAGGTCTCACAATGGCCCATTTTTTGTCTATGGAAGATTACTGAAAATGTAGCTTCAGAGCTACATAAATTTCTGTTTTTAATGCCACTCTTAGTTACAGAATTACATAGCATTAGTCAGCAAAAAGCCATGCCAGAACACATTCATTACCCATGACATTACCATTTCTTTTGCATACTCCACAAGATTCTGACTTACAAGACATACAATTTAATGATGTTTAGGAAACGAAACCTTAAGGGTAATTTGAACAACGCAGATATTTTTAAATGTTGCTTCCTTTATTCTAATTATTAAAAATGTATCCTAAATTAAATGATATAGGGTGGAATGAGCTACCCATTGCATCCACAATCAAAAACAATCATTCTGCCACCTGAGTGGTATGAGTAAAAAGCCTTTGTGCCCATTTTTCATTCCTGGAGTGATGGCTGCACGGCCGTCTTTCCAGGAAGTCATACGCAAAGCGGACTTGTTACCTAAAAACAAATTTGCATTAATCAATACATCATCAAAAAACTGTATGTATGATGTTTTCAATAAATGTAAATCATTCCATTGGTTTTTAGGAGATCTGTAAAAATAATTTCACCTACCTTTAAGGGATCAGTGCAAATTAGTCCCTCTTTTGAAGCACCTCACCCTTTCTTAACTGTAAAAATACTGTCTCGAGTAATGTGTAAATCCAGTAGTAAGTTACTATGAAATTAATCTGTCTGTCCACAAATACTTACTGTGAAAATAATTGCCCCAGGACCCTGTATACTGATACAGTCAACTCTGCTTTAAGTGTGTTTGTTTTTGTAAGTATATATGTATGTATGTATGTATGTATGTATACATACACATACATATACACACACAAATATAAATATACATATTATAAAGCAGAGTTGGAACACTTCATTACTTGAAGACTATGCTGGACTATGGATGGAATTTGTTTGTGCTAAATAAAAGTATAAAAGTTTAGAAAATAAAGTATGTGGTGGACATGTCACCTTCCTTCATTCAGTATTGTTTTATGCACAGTTTCCACTAAAGCTATTTCTTAATAGTCTAAATAATTCATCAGTATTTATTTTTTTTAACATACCTATGTCATCATCCCTAGTTACAATTCTATATGTATAATATTAGAAGAATTTTCTACGTGGCAAACTTATTCTTCAAAAGTACAAGTATAAAAGGATATAACAATTAAGACTTTGTTAAGTTAAAACATTTATTTTTTTTAAATAAAGAAAAATGTGAAAAAACATTGAAGGCAATGGCTGTAAAGAAATGTTAGAGAGATCTGTGTATGTCTTTTCTGGCTCACAGAAAAAAATGAAGTGCGCTCCTAAATACTCTCTTAAACGGGCAGTACCTCTAAAAGAGATCTTAAATGATGAACTAAGAAAAGCTTACGTATATAAGTCAGAAACTTGCCTATTATGCCTCGTTTCCACTGAGCGGTATGGTTCGGGTCGGTACAGTTCGGAAGGGTTAGAATGGTCCAGCCTATTCAGGTAAACGTTTCCACTGCAAGTCGGACTGCTAGGGGGCATGCAGGGTTTAGACCAAATGACTAGCTTGTCATTTGTCGTGAGCATTGACGTTTCCCTGTCCAATCAATGGATTGTATAGTGTGACGCCAGTAGCTCTGCCCTAACCGTACCCTACCATTTCCTATGGACCTACATCTGAAGTGGGCCCTCTAATGGTGCGGTTTGGTGCTGTTGTATGGGCCATTTTCATAATGGAAACACTCAAAATAGCGTACCAGACCGCACCGACCCAAACCATACCGCTCAGTGGAAACGGAGCATTAGTGATTCACAAAGTGTGCATTTTATAACAGACTGGGACTGCCATTATTCCTTTAGTTCATTCTTACATGAGCATTTGCAGGTCACTAACAACAACTTCAAATTGAGCTGTAATCTGAGGAAGTAACTACTGCATAGACCAAATCAGAAAAAAAAAAAATTCAAACATTCTTCAGTTTTGATGGTCACAGAGTACACTGGTCCATGTCGGAAAAATCTTTTTAAAATTGAGTTATTTGTCTGCTAGGCTGAGATTTGTTCTCCTGTTTGAGTCTAAATTATGCAATTGTCCTTTTAATACTCCACAATTTCTGGATGACTGAAGAATCCCAAAGGTTTTTTGTAGGGTTATTCAATATACATTTTCCAAAATATTGGCAGCTGACCAAGAAATTTCATATTCGAGGCCAAAGTAACTGAGCTGGGAAGAATTAAACAGGATATTTTTTCCTTTTACAATTTTGATATTTTAGCCAAAAATTCATAATTGCTTGTTAATTCCCAGTTCAATTAATAAAATTGTTAGTATTTTAAAGGAATACTCCACAGCCGAATTACAAAAAATAAAAATAAATAATTAACTGTTTAGTAGATATATCCCCCAATTAAAACATCTATGCATTTATATCTCTCTATTTCTATCTAAAAACAGCTTGCTGCTGCCTTTGCAAGTCCTCCTCCCTCTTCCCAGACCAGACTTTCTGTGGCTGTCCAATCACAGACTTCCTAATGCAGCTCATTGAGAAGTCTTTGCAAGGCAGGTGCTCTGGGCAATTGCTGTCTCTTAAGTTCAGATCCACTGAGCTAACCAAACCAGGTAGTAACAGTACCTGTTTTCTGATTGACACCCGGGGAAGGGGGGGTGGGGTGGAGTGAATGTAACCAGGTTAATTGATAAAAGTACCAATTTTTTGTTGAAATCTGCAGTTTTTGTAAAATGAAAAAGGAGGACACCCTCTTCATATATTAAAGCCTTACAGCAAGCTGACATTCTTTAGCGGTCTGGAGTATCCCTTTAAAGCAATCAAGTTGGGCTGCATTTATGTGATCTGGGATTGAGCTTTTTGTATGATTAAAATATTTTATCAATAATAATTGTAGTAGCCATACAGTGCTTGCAAGGCAGTAGAGTATTCATAAAATGCTGTTTCACATAACTGGGTATGACGTAGGTAAATTACAGAAAATATCATGGATAATAAACTGATGAACAAGGAATAGCTTTGTGAGTGGCATTGAATAAAGCAATGCTTTATGAAGGCGAGACGTTTACATTATATGTGATCTTTGCACTATCCTTATTTATTTAGTTTGCTATAACTGTTTTATTGAGAAAATGTTACACCGTATTGTTTGCTGCAGCTGCAGACCTTGCAGGCAGCAAATGGATTTTACTGTGCACACCTCTCTGCCTCTTCTTGCGCACACTGCAGCACAGGCTGAAGTAAACAAGTGAGCATATGACTCATGCGTCATTCTCCCTGCTTCCCCCCCTCCTCTGAGTTCTCACTCCCCCGGTCAGATTAGAGGTGATAAACAAGTCGTATTCAGTAGGCAGATCATATCTAGAAGCAAGCATTGCAAAGCAGAGCGCTTCCATGAACAGCTTAGCAGGTGCATTTACTGCAGCCTCCCCTTAGTCTTTTTTTCTTCACGTACATATCTTGCAAATTTACCTCATTCTTGCACTGCATCGCCTTCCAAATAGAGATAGATGCATTCAATACAATTGTATGCCTAGATTCTTTAAAGCACATTCATTTCCAACAGCCTGAAAAAGCATTCTTAGTTTTTGATGCCTTACAATAGACGTGCGGTCATTCATTTTATTTTTCCAGAATACATAGCTGATCATTAGTGTCACTAGAGCACATTCTAGAATGTGAGGCTGGCTCTGCCCCTCGTCCCTGCCCTCCTAAAATGCAGGTCTCCATTTTTCTGTCTCTTATTCTGCATTACTACATAGCACAGGATGGGGGTGTGGTGTGTGTGGTGGGGGTATCATTATGCACATTTCTAAATTCTCCATTCTGAACCAAAGATCAAAAATATTTTTTTAAAAATCATATTTATTCCTACATAAAAAATGCACTAACGTAGGAGAATTGTAAGATTTTTTTTTCTTTGTAATATTCAAGCAGGTGTTTTCCTTTTTAATGTAGATAAGAAAACCAGCTTGTGAGAGCTTACGAGAAAGCCAGTGCCAGTGTATGAAAGTTACGCAGGGTGAATACCAATGAGGACACTAGTGGCACTGTGTGAGTATAGCACCAGAAAATATCTCAGGGATTTTTAGTCTTTACTGTGTATAAAAAGCTACAACTAACTGGCACTATGCTTGAACACACACACATCTATTTGTGTGCAGCTCCATACATTCGTAAATGTAGGTTTCACTATATAATGACTCGTCACTGTCACTTATATCAAGGTGTGCATTCTTAATAATGTATCTTACTAAAAATTCAATCAGTTGTCCATTGAAGTGCCTTTGTCTCCACTTAGATAAAGATAATGTTTCATATAATTTCCCCTAATCCCATTATTTTAATGATTGGCACCTACTGTTCCATAAATGAATGCAAGCCCCTTCTCTCATCACCTGGGCAATCACTACTCTGTTTTGAGCATGTTGCCCCTTCAATCCCAGTGCAGCTACAGACAGAGCTATGCAGGTATCTGTATTAAAAAATGTTACAGTTAAATAGTGCTTTTTATTGTCTGCAGCACATATCTACCATATCGGTTATAAAATCTGTTACATGCAAGACAGCAAACATATGTTTAGAATGAACCTCCAGCTAGATGTGTGACAATGTACAACACAATATAAACACATAGGGTGTGAAATTTTTGTATTTCGAAGATGATATTAAACAAAAATAATGCACTCACAAAACAAAAAATGGTTTCTTAAAAATGTTAAACATCAAGTTTGTTTGCTGTGTGTGCTGTTTCCCCATATTAGGAACATCAATGACAAGATAGCAAGATAGATCAATGGATAGATAGAAATAGATATTTAAAAAGACAGATGTAAAGAAAGAAAACAATAGATAGATATAAAAGAAACACAGACAGACAGAAAGATATAAAGACAGACAGAAAGAAAGAAAGAAAGAAAGAAAGAAAGAAAGAAAAAAAGATAGATAGATAGATATAAAGACAGATAGACAGACAGATAGCGAGGAGCAGGTGCAAATAATTGTCCTTACTTTGGTGGCCAGCCTTTCCACTTCACAAGATACTCCACTTTACCCTGGAAAATGGACATAACAGGAAAGGAGAAAGAATTAGGAGTAGGGCATTGATCAAGTTTGAAACATGTTCTAAATATATATATATATATATATATATATATTTAAAAAGTTATGGTTTCTAGCTAGACATACCCAGGTGTATCTTAAAAATATAAGAGTATGTACCCAAACTCTAAAGTAGTAGGTTCCTAAACTTTACACACACACCTTTACCCCAAAATGTGTACATCCAATGTGTGTACCTTGAATCATCTACTCAGAATACATCAACCAATCCTGCTTGGAATTTATAGCTCATAAACTATATATAAACTATTGAAATTGACTTAGTAAATGTGTAATGCCTATGGACCTCAACATTTTATAGATGGATATCCATGTATCTTAATGGATTTAGTAATTTTATATGCCAAGAGTAGATAAACACAGGACAAATAGCTAATAAAATTTTAGTAATGGCACTAAACTTTTCCAAAATAGTGTATGTGTAGAAACACATATTTTGATAGCAGATAAGAACCAGATTTGTCAATTTAATCTGTATATTGTGAAATATTAAACTGATTCTGTTCAGGTCCCTATTCCACTGCACTTAAAAGTCATATAAAATTCTGCTGGTTCCTAAATATTAAAGTTCCTATAAAATTCCTGTACGATTACGATGGTCGTGTTAAAGTCCTATACATTTTCTGGAAGTGCCTAGTACTTACAGTTTCCATATATTTTCCATCTCTTCATATGAATCATTCATTAGAATAGTTAAGAATACACATGGCATTAACTGAGGTGGGGAATACACCACTCCATAAATATATATCACTCACAGAGTTCACTATGTTTTCAAGTAGGTAACTAAAAATCAATGAATTCACTCAAAACATCAATAGCTATAAACGTTGCCATAGAACAGGAAGGTAGGTTGATGAAACTCTTGTCAGAATTTCTATTAGGCAAAGGATGAGATTTATCCTGATAAAATAGGTTTTATTTCAGTCAAATACTTCAGTTTTTGGGACATACCACTAGTTTCCAAAGAGATTTTTTGCTTTGATAAATTTCCATTAAAATGTGGTACTTCAGTGTGTTTATAGAGGGGTGTGTGTGTGTTGATTAATGAATGAAATTTCTCATGTCATGTACAGTGTGTATTTCATTCCTAATCTATCAAGTAGATAAAACATTAAATAAGTTTGCTAAATGTGATTCCCACAGCTATAAAAGTACTGATATCAGAGCAGATGATGAGGTCATAGTTAGAAATTTCTGGATAGCTTTGGTTTACCTTTTTGAACCAAACCTGCACACTTCTGATGCTGGAGCAAAGAAAATTGGTCTTTAGCCAGATATTGGGCTCAATAATGTGTTACGACTGTATATGCATTAATTAAGGAGAAGAGAAAGTTCTAGCTCTGCGGCACTCAAGAAATGTGGCATAAACAGTGCTGCCCACCACTGGCGACAAGTAGGAGATGGGTCATATCTTAAACTGCACTGGCTTATGTGATGAACATTCCAATAAAACCAAATACCTACAACCATAATCCATCATCAATTCCCTCAGTGAACGTTCTAATTAACACTAATAAACTTGGAGCAGTAGTGGGCAACTAGCATTATCCAGATGTTTGCTAGGTCAACAACACTCATCATTCTCAGTCAGGTTAGGCTAATGTTGATGGGAGCTACACCTACAAAAAAATAAATATATATATATTTTTATTTTTAATTACCCCTGGAGGGTTTAACCTCTGATTTGGAGAAAAAAAATAAGTAACACGCCCCCCCAGACTCACCTTCCTGATTCTCTTCTTCCTAATACTCTCTACTGCAAAGACTTGCTCCCCAATGGCAGACAGCTCCATGCCTGTCTCGGGAGTGGTCTCTCTGTTCCAGGAGGTCTCCAGACCCTTGCAAGTTGCCACTTCTTTACAATGCAGATGCTGGGTGCTCCTGCGTTGCAGATCGCCTCTCTCTGCGCTGTGCTGCTGCAGGATCTTCCACATGTGACGCCCACCTCCACCCTTATGTGCAAAGCGCTCAGGATCCCTCAGTCTGATGCTCTATGCAACCTGTAAGGTGATGGTGCTGGCTGGGCTAAGCTGTGAGTTTCCCTCTGGATGAGATTTTCAGTGTGAGTTCTCCTACATGGATCAGTGTGACCATGCATATATATAGCCTGGCTCTCTGCTCCCGCTTTGCATTACAACCTGCGCAACATTTTCAGGGAGCGCGCAACATCAGCTCGTGAACGGCGGCGTTCTAAAGTTGGTTCTATGGAATGATGTGTTACCACATCTCTCGGGAACGCGCACGCAGGCAGTGTGAGAAGGAGGGGGCATGGGAATTGTGGCTGCTGAGTGTCCTGCAAGTTCAATAAATCATCTCTGCTGATCTCACCTGCATATAAAATCCTTAACCCCTTATTCTGCAAAAAGCAGACAGTCTCTTTAATGCTTCTTACATTCAATAAAAACTTATTTCCTTAACACCTATAATTATCATGATAAATAGAGATGGATAGGTTTCTAGCACTAATTGTCCGAATGTGAAAGGAACACTAGAAGTACTTATTGCACTATATTTTCCCTTTTTGTCCTCTTTTTCTATTTCATATCCCTTTGGGCCCGAGGACTTCATCAAGGCGTGACTCCCAATGATTTATTCTTTCTGCTACTTATAATTATCAGTCTGCTCTCTTTTACTATTTCTTTCCTCACCGCCTGCTGATAAAACATTTCTCCTCCTCACATTTTTTTCCTATTCTATAATGTCTGTTAATTAACCGTTCAGTGCCACATAACTCACTTACTTTTACCATCTCAGCAGACTGAAAGAGTTGTGACTACCTAATATATGTCATCTCTTAGACTGAAAGATATACACACTTCCACTAAAGTGCATCCTTATTAACTCATTCAGTCCCACAGGAATTCCACTTAACATAAAATTATATGTAGCATTTAAGTTCATGAATATACTAATAGTAATATGTTACCCAAGAGCAGGTTAGCCCAGATGTGGAGAACATGGTTGGAAAAAGAGAGGTAATACAAAATCACAAGTAACACATCTACAGATGAATACACTGTAAAACTATGGTGTAATATTGTAGCCAAGCCAGCTATTCATTCACTGTGTATATAAACACATACATGTAGAAAGGGTTGACTGATACACAGATCACAAAAAGTAAGAGAGATAGAGATAGTGAGAGAGAGAGAGAGAGAGAGAGAGAGAGAGAGAGAGAGAGTGTGTGTGTGTGTGTGTGTGTGTGTGTGTGTGTGTGTGTGTGTGTGTGTGTGTGTGTGTGTGTGTGTGTGTGTGTGTGTGTGTGTGTGTGTGTGTGTGTGTGTGTGTGTGTGTGTGTGTGTGTGTGTGTGTGTGTGTGTGTGTGTGTGTGTGTGTGTGTGTGTGTGTGTGTTGATAAAGTCTAAACTCTTCCAGTCTCATGAAGATGATAAAATAAGTTAAAACTGATTATAGAGAAGTTTAGTTAGCGTATATAAAATGTTAAGTGTATTGTTCCCCCAAGCCTACATATCTTGTTCAGGGTCACTGCTTACAAATCTTCAGTGATTAGTCATAGACACATCATTACCACAATTCATGTTACAATTCATGTTACAAAAAAAAAAAAAAAAAAAAGAGAGAGAGAGATTGGATGGATAGATAGATGTTAGGTGATATCCTCTAGATCAGTGGTGCTCTTAGTAAGAATAAAATGAAACATCTCCATTTCTACACACATAATAATATAATAATGTAATTAAAGTAGTCGGGAGAGAGTGATTATGTGGAAGATAAAATGTTAATACTCATCAATTAAAGTATATATAGTAATCCTTTCAGTCCCAGGGATGTCATGTGAAATGATCATGTATGAATGTTTCCAGTCCCATAATTATGATAAACTTTGATAATTCCTGTGAGACTGAAAGGATTGAGAAATAGATAAATCAGTGAAAGTGTGGATTTATTAACCCTTCCGGCCAGAGATTTCATGTCAAATTATCATGTATTAACTCTTCCACTGCCAGGGAGATGCTAAAAATGTGGTGATTCATGTGGGAATTAAAGGGTTAATTAATGCACACGCTATAATGAGGATGTATGAGTATTTTACTGGTGCTGATAAAGATTTGTAAAATGTGGAAAAGTGATAATTATTCGTGCTTAGAAAACTTGCAGATTCCTCTTTATTGATTGTAAGAGACATTAAAGGGACTGTCTGTTTTTCAGGAGAAAGGGTTAAGGATTTTACCTGTAGGGGAGATAAAGAAGGATGATTTATTGACCTTTCAGGACTTTGACCAGCCTCCCTCCCCTTCTACTTCTTCAAACACCCTAAATGCTCCATCAGAGAGATTTGAGAACACATTTTATGGGAACAAGTTTAGCAGTATACTGGCTCACCCTTACAGTGCACTCGTTCTTGGGGGCCCTTGTCTTACCCGCGCTAACCTGACCCGCGCATACGTGTATGGATGGCTCGTAGCCCGCCCACTGGAGCCCAGGGAGCTTGTAACCTTGCTGTGTGTGTAGTGACGCCAGAAGCAAGAACGTCAGCGCTGCCCTCATTCATTGCAAACATTGAGAATTCTACAACCGAGAATTTACATTCTAGTAGTTGTATTTTTTTTTTTTTTTTTTTAGATTGATTATATAGACTGAATGTTAAATCAAACAATCTGTTGTTCTCCCAAGCCTACGTACCTTGTTCAGGGTCACTTCGTACAACTACTCAGTGATGAGTCATAGACACATCATTATCACATTCATTCTACATCTTCAACAAAAAAATACAGAGAAAGAGAGAGAGAGAGTAATTGGATGGATGGATGTTACTTAGGTGATATCCTCTAGAGAAGTGGTGGTCTTAGTAAGAATAAAATGAAACATCTCCATTTCTACACACATAATACTATAATAATGCAATTAAAGTAGTCTACAATACATATTTTAATCATCGGGAAAAAATAGAAGGAAGAGAAAAATATATTTTCACCTTTTTTTTTTGTATTTTTAGGTGGCCATCCCTTAACCCTCTTTTTTCCTCGCTATCTATGCTTTGGAAATGTATAATGAATATGAATTATTATTATTATTATGATATTTATAGAGTGCCGTCAAATTCCGCAGCGCTTTACAATGGGTGGAAGAACAGACATGTATTTGAATAAAAGAGATCAGGTTAATTATGAGGATGATCAGGTCTACACTTGGTGTAGTAAAAATAAGGGGAAAAAACGATACCAGAAAATCAATTTTAAAAGTTTAAATATTGTGTAATTTCGTAGAATCTTCACATGTTTCTTACCTTCCTAAGTGATGGAACCTCTTGTTAAGTCCAATTGCCTGGCGACTAAAGTTATCTCATCATAAAGTTTCTGCTTATATCTAGTCAGATGCTCTACCGGTTTAAAAAGAAGGAAGGACCAGGGATCCATCTTGAGAGATCTCTGGAATATCTCACCCATTATCCCCTTAACCTGTTGCCAAAATATGCTCACTTTAGGGCAAACCCTCCAAATATGGATACATGAACCATTAAATCCACAACCCCTCCAGCACAAATCATCATTCTAAATAATTTAACCGGGGCAGTATACCATCTATGTACGAATTTCTACATAGGTTCCTGTAAAGACTCAGATTAAAATACAAGTTACTGTCTCCCAGATGGTCTCCCAATACCTCCTTTCCAGTGTGCCATCCAAATCTTCTTCCCACTGTTTCGTATAGGTCAATTCACCTCGTAATCAAGTATTAGAACCTATATCGTCATGTATGAGTGGAATCACTCTTTAATTGCCATTTTACATATCATATACTTTTTGATATTTTAATATTTTGAAAAAAAATAATTTTAAAAGATTATTGAAAAATATGAAATCATTAGGAAAGCTAATCCCACAATATTTCATAGAGGCCATTGTTGTTGAAACTGAACTACATTTGAGATATTATTATTTTATTATTTATATAGCGCTAGCAAAATTCCGCAGCGCTGTACAATGGGTATGGGGAAATACCATACACTCTTTACAATCACTGACCTCTTTAAATCCTTCCATTCTCGGAACTAATGCTGAAAATACTTTGCAAAAATTGGTTAAAAATAGATTTAAAATCCTTTGCAAATAATGAACACTTCACTTATGAACAAGTTAGTAACCTAGTGTCAAAAGAACAGGTAGCTTTTAAAGAATTGCAGTGCAATAGAGAAATTCTCGTACATCAATCAGACAGCGTGGCGAGGCAGGGCTTAAAGGTAAACTTTGAATTCTCTGGAATTTACATCATTAAATAAAACATTGGATATCACCTATAGCTTGTGCTAACCTTTTTTGTGAGGTGCTCCATTTTATTGTAAATGTATATTACAGATTTTACGAATGGCATCATAAACTGGCAAAGACAGGATACACTTTGCAAATAAAAAGGATAAATAGAAACATTGTAGGTATGCTTTCTTTATGCTGACTGCAGGGTGCAAAGGGCAGAGTTTATAACAGCAAATATTAAGGAACAGCGCACACATAAAAATACAGTTTTACATTTTATAAGACTACTTAAAATCACCTATCTCAGCAAACAAATATGGGGATTCAGTTTCACTATATGGGCATATTGTGTTAAGCCCACCACTAATACTTCAAAGTACCCCAATATTGGTGGGTCCTACACTAATTCCAACGTGGGAGATACACAGTGCTAGTGCAAAATAAGCAAAAGCGTATTTTAATAATCTGTCGTAAGTGCATTGTTCTTATATTTAAGGAAAAATAAATGCAATAAAAAACGCAATTCTAACACGTGTCAAAACTTAACAATGAAAGTGGTAGTGCTTTGATGTATATACTCACAATGCATATCATATATTGTATATCAGCTCTACGAATGTTATAATTAAAGTGACATTAATAACCAAATAATGTCACTTTAATTATAATTTTCATTCTGCTAAAAAGTTGGTCTAATGTATTAGAAGTGGGACATTTACCATAGAACTCATGGAACCAATAGACACACTCTATTGACTCTTTCTGCCAGTTTACATTTTTATTTTTTTAAATCTACACCATTGTAGAAATCATTGTATATATTGCATTTTTACCGTTGTGTCATTATAGACCACTTCCTCTAGTCTGTATACTCATTTTAGCATTACTGTAGGCCATAATTATTTGTATGCTTCACTTAGCACTGTGAAATGTTTTGAGGGTTTATAAATAGTTATAACCAACTATATCTTACTGATTAGT